ACACACGATCGGGGACTCGGGTTGAACGAATGGTAGGGTGGAAGAAACCACCGGAGGGATGGGTGAAGCTATCAACAGACGGAGCCTCTCATGGTAATCCAGGCCCGTCAACGGCCGGGGGAGTGATCCGAGGTATGGCGGGGGAATGGCTAGGTGGCTTCGCGTTGAATATCGGGGTATGTTCAGCACCGTTGGCGGAGTTGTGGGGAGTGTATTATGGCCTGGTTATTGCCTGGGAGCGGGGCTTTAGACGGGTGGAGTTGGAGGTGGACTCGGAGTTGGTGGTAGGTTTTATCAAGATGGGGGTCAGCGATGCTCATCCGCTATCTTTCCTGGTGCGTTTGTGCCATGGCTTTATCGTCTTGCCGACGGATTAGCAAACTATGCGTTCACGTTAGAGTTAGGCTTTCTTTTTCTTGATTCATGTCCTGATGTTATCCACGATGTTTTGTTGGAGGATGTTCATGGGACGGAACTTCCACGTTATGTTCGGTTGTAATTCTTTTATTTAGTTTAATAAATCGGGGGAGGCAATGCCTCCCTCTCGCTCACCAAAAAAAAACAGTTAAAAACAAATCAAACAAAGATGATAGGAAAATCATAATTCTAAATCTTAATCAAATCTTCTAAATATCTAAATTATTGAATATGGAATATCCGGTGTATGAGTTGGGTTAAATATAACCCGACCCAATAAACTTTTTATGACCAAAATATGTAAACGGGTCGGATACCCATTGTATCCAAATGCATTTTGTCCCACCCGCTAAAAATGTACTTCAAAAATATTAGTATAGATAACCACCTAAAACTTAGAATGGAAGATAGGTTTAAAAAGCCGAAATAACGAAGAGTTCTCCTTGATTTTTTGATATGTGAAATATTATTAAGATTAGCCCGAAAAATATATATATATATATATAAAATCAATTATTCTATATATAATATATTCATTTTAAATTTAAACCCGATTTTGACCAAAATTTTATAAAATCAGCCAACCCAACCAAATCTTATTCTTCTTCGGCGGCGATTGGTGGTCACGCGGTTGACGGTTGCGGAGAATTCATGCCGTCTCCTTCTTCAACACCTTCCGATCCAATTTCTCTCAAGTGTGCAGCTTGTGGTTGTCACCGTAACTTCCACCGCCGTGAACCTGACGATTCCTCCTCTGTTCCACCACCGTCTCTTCTTCCATCTTCATCCACAACCGCCGCAATTGAGTATCAACCTCATCACCGTCACCACCCTCCTCCTCCGCTAGCTCCTCCGCTTCCTCGTAGTCCTAGTTCATCTTCTCCGACAGTAGCTGAGGGAGACAGGAAGAGGACCTGTGAGTTTGTTGTTGGCCAAGGAGATGGACCTCAAGGACCCGCATTTCTCGAAGAACCCGTCTGGGATCCGACCCGAGAGACTATTGCCGCTGAAATCGACGACTTGGAGGCTGCCGAGGTGAGGGAACTCGGGGTTTAGGGTTCCGGTGAGGTTGTTGTTGGAGAGGACCAAGGTGTGGAGGAACTGGAGACGGAGAAGGCCACGGCCGATGTGACCGGAGAGAGAGAAGGCGTCAAGTCGGAGCTCCGAGACCCGGTGGAGGCAGGGTCGCATGTGCAACCGACCCAGTTGTAGGGATCGTAGTCTTCGGATCTGCCGTCGATGAGACCCAAAACGTCGTCATTGAAAGTCGGGTCTGCCGTCGTTAAAGAAAAAAAATTCTGGTCAAAATCGGGTGAAGAAGAAGAAGATTGGGTCAAAATCGGGTTTAAATTTGGTTAAATATGAATTAAATTAAACCGAGTTATGTGGTACCGGTTTATTGGCCGGTTCAATTGGAGGCGTAGTTTTAAGGATGAATCCGAAAGTACATGTTGAAATTGCGAGAATTATCTAAGTTAATGGTGGAATTAGCTGGAGCGAAAAGGTTGGGGGGGAAAAGCTGAGAATGCAACTAGTTTATGGCTATAAAATCAGCCAACCCTTCAAATTTTGAGTATACAGGCTCTCGAAATTCTATATTTGATTTATCGCACACTGATATGGAAGTAATTCAAAAATAGTTAAGATGTTAAATATTGTCATCTACGTAAATATTTATTTTTATGTAAATATTATTTAAGTCATTCTCTAATCCTTTTCTCTTTTTACAAAATCAAAACCGTAATAGACTAATAACTAAAGAAAACTAGCTCATTTATACTATATAAAAGTCGAGACTATAAGCTTATGAGGTTAGGCCGTCTACGTGGGATTTTAAACAACCAATCATGGTTAGCCATCTCATTAATTAACATTTTCAAAATTATAATAATTTTCCATATTAAGACTTTGTACAAAAAAAAACAAGATGTATGGAAATAAAAGTAATAAAAGAAATTAGCCATCTTACTAATTAACTTTTTTAGATTCTAATAATTTTTGAAAAAACAATTTATGGAAATAAGAAATAAGAAAAATGTAAACTTTTTTATATTAAAATGTATAAAATATTTCGTTATAAATAGTAGTCTTAGGGTAGCGTCATTATAATCACTCTTCAATCTTCATAATCTACCGTACATTAAGTTTTTTGAGTAATTTTAAACACATATCATAATCTACCACGATAAATATAGATGCAGCACTCTCATTTGATTGGTATGTTTTTCTATTTTATATTTATCTATTGATCATGTGTTTAACTATTTATCTTCTGTTTCATGACATCCACATATTTGAAAATTGGAAATTCTATGCATCGGAGCTATTTTTCATGACAAACAAATATTCTATACTTACCATCAAGATTCTCTTCAAAAACTGAAACATATGGTGGTTGAGATCGATGGTTATGTGGCTACTTCGTACGTCTACAAGGTATCGTACGGACGAGCCGCTCTGTTGTTTCCCTCGGCTTGGTTAAACCTGAACTATTCATCATCACTTCTATGATCTTACTGATTCTTTTATTCATATGAAAACCTTAACTTATCGGTCGATTGATGTTTTTTTTTTGGTAAAAACAAGAGATGAGGATTTCTCAGAAGATTATGAATCTCGACGATGAAGAGGTAGATTAATTTTGTGAATAATCTTATGTTTTTTTTTGTTTTTATAGATCGTTTATTTGACTCTTGCGTTTATTTATTTATTTATTTAGAATACCAATGATGTCGGTAAAAAAGAGGTAAAGATGTCTCACGATCAAAAATTTATCATCAATCATTTCAATTCCTAAGTCCCAAGAACAAAACAGCAAAATTGATTAATCTCCTATTTTTACTTTGTTTGTATAGATGAAGTTGTATAGCGAGAAAGATTCATCAAAGAAGTTAATGTGGAATCCAAGTTTATCCGGATCCTGTTCACCGGCCAAACCCGTATTTAAACTAATGCTAACACACTAACTTTGTTTATGGCGTTGTTTTTAGTTTCTTGCTGTAATACCTTTCTTAATTTACTACCGATGACTCTCTTTCGAATTTATGAAATAGAAATTCATTTATTTTAATATATACTACTTGATCATTTTAGAAGATTAGTATTTGTAACGACTTCTATGTGGAAAAACACCAATAAACAAGGGGGTTATCTTCTACCGAGTTTGATTAAGTTATATATCCACTACATGTTTTATTGTTTTCGTTGTGTGCATAGTTGATTCACTTATGCCAAATTCATCCTTCACTTCTACTTAGATGTCCCTGTCAGTTTATAGTTATTAGTTTATTGATTTTGATTACTTTTCTATGTATCTCTTAGTTGAGTGGTAGTACCGTAGTAGCACCCTTCGGATTTAATTTTTTTTAGCTGACAAAATTTCATTTTCTTTTCATTGAATTTCATCTTCTCAAACCGTCCACATGGAATTTAAAACAACCAAACAAGATTACCCATCTCATTAATTCACATTTTTAGTTATCACATTAATTAACATTTTTAGAATTCTAATACTTTCTATATTAAAATATTTTATGAAAAAGAAAAAAAACAATATATATGTAAAGAAGAGAAATGTAAACTTTTTAAAAACAACATATGGTAATAAGAAAAATTGAATTACCATTAAATCAAACCGGGTTATGTGGTACCGGTTTAATGACCGGTTCAATTGGAGGCGTAGTTTTATGGATGAATCCGAAAGTACATGTTGAAATTGCGAGAATTATCTAAGTTAATGGTGGAATTAGCTGGAGCGAAAAGGTTGGGGGGGAAAAGCTGAGAATGCAACTAGTTTATGGCTATAAAATCAGGAAACCCAAATTTGAACGTGTAGTTTAATAACCTTTAAATACATAAAGCAGAAAACAATGAAAAATCTTTAAACGTTTAATAACACTAGTATTGGTGACTAATGACTAACTTTTTTTATTTGTCATCATCTAATGACTAATGACTAATGACTAACTATCTTTTTCTTTTTTGCGTAAAATCATTGGTGACTCTCTAGATCCTATTCAAATTAAAAGTTCTTAACTAGTCAGATTAATATAATATTTCGTCAAAACTAATATAATATAGGTAAGACTGTAAGAGTGGACACTGACGTGCGTGTCAGTGTTGCAGATACACAAATATCTTTTTGTGTAGACGTTTCGAATTTGCCAGATATTATATTTGGTGTTCCTTTTCTTAATAATATCTCCTTTTTTAGGCAAGATATTTTGTTCATTCATGTGCGTCTCTCAAATTACAAATAAAAATAAAATAAATACAAGATATTTTGGTTTTTGTAAAGTCAAAGCAAAGACAATTGTTGTGATTGGGCTTAAAAGCCTTAAAGCATCTAAAAGAGGACGATTGTGAGAATCCAGAATCGGAAAAGTTTCCACTTGTGCCTTCTAGATCGCGAGTACACTCTTTGTCTACACGCGAGCGCGTGACTTCACACTCATAAAATATCTTTAAGGTCCTTAAAAAATGGGTTCTTTCACACTTTTTACCCAATGTTTCGAGAATTATCAGCTTATGTCACATGCCTGCCTACATGTCCCTTTGCAGACACAACCCACCCATTGTCTATCCATCTATTTCTCTTTTGCTGAAGAGTGAAGAAGTTGTGGAATCATCGATTTCTCAAGCTTCTTCGTTTCAAAAAGCATTCCTTTTTGGTGTTTCTGCTTCAGAAGATTCTTGACGATCTCTCTCCTATGTGAGTTCTTTAAAACCCTTGTGTTGTTATTTTAGTGAGGGTTGCTTTGATTCTCAATCCTTTTGGCTGATCTTGAAATGGATCTTCTTTCACTTCTCTGATTTATAATAAGAAATCTAGAATTTTTGAGTTCACTTTTGTGATTGGTACATGTTGATCTGAAATTTGAAGTCTTTATGTGATGTTAATTGGTTTCTCTGATGTCTCTTTTGATTGGTTTTTGTTTATAGCAGTCTCTTAGATAGGAATTTACGATCTTTGATAAAGAAATATTCAAAAAGATTGGATCTTTATCTACTTCTGGACTTGCTTTTGATACCAAGTTTCTATCTTTTGTTAGTTATATTAATGTATTTTGGTAAGATTATGATATAAGGGACTAACCAAAAGGGTTTTGATTCTTTGTTAGTGAAAGGAGCTTGCTTTCTTCAGTGTGACAGTTGAGCCAAACATTTAGATTGGTTCAGTTTGAAAGATGGGTTATATGTGTGATTTCTGTGATGAACAAAGATCAATGGTGTATTGTCGGTCTGATGCAGCATGTTTGTGTCTCTCGTGTGACCGAAATGTTCATTCTGCTAATGCTTTATCTAAACGTCATTCGCGGACTTTGGTATGTGAGAGGTGTAATGCACAGCCAGCTTCTGTTCGGTGTAGTGATGAGAGGGTTTCTTTATGTCAAAACTGTGATTGGTTAGGCCATGATGGCAAGAATTCTACTTCTACTACTACTTCACATCGTAAAAGGCAAACCATCAATTGTTATTCTGGTTGTCCCTCGAGTGCCGAATTATCCTCCATATGGTCTTTCTTTATGGATTTGAATATCTCTTCTGCTGGAGAATCTGCTTGTGAACAAGGAATGGGTTTGATGACTATAGATGAAGATAGCACAGGAGAAAAATCAGGTGTCCTAAATGTTAATGTAGATCAGCCTGAAACCAGTTCGGCTGCACAAGGTATGGATCACTCTAGTGTTCCAGAAAATTCATCATTGGCTAAGGTATTTTAACATGATTGTCTTCATATTGTGGTAGAATCTTGAAAGCGACTAGCGTCTAAATGTTTCTTATGATTGTACTTGTTTAGGAGCTTGGAGTATGCGAGGATGACTTTAATGGAAATCTCATTACAGATGAAGTAGACTTGGCTCTTGAAAACTATGAAGAACTCTTTGGTTCAGCCTTCAACTCATCAAGATATCTCTTCGAACACGGAGGAATTGGAAGTCTTTTCGAGAAAGATGAAGCTCCTGAGGTTTTGTCAACCTTCTTCTTCTATCAGAGACTAGTATCACTAAAGTTAAGAATGATTTTTTGTGTGATCCTTATGCTCTCTTGTGTTTCTCTCAATTCAGGACTCAACCCAAGGAAACGCAATGCAGCAGCCAGCCGTAAGCAATAATGCATCTGCAGATTCGTTCATGACTTGTAGAACGGAGCCAATAATTTGCTATTCATCAAAGCCAACTCATTCGAATATATCCTTCTCTGGCATCACGGGAGAAAGTAATGCTGGAGATTTCCAAGATTGTGGGGCATCATCGATGAAGCAGCTTTTAAGGGAGCCACAACCATGGTGCCATCCAACAGCACAGGACATTATTGCTTCCGCACATGCAACAACACGTAACAATGCTGTTATGCGCTACAAGGAAAAGAAGAAGGCTCGCAAGTAAGTATACAACCACATGGAAAGGAATTAAATTCATCATCAGTGAAGGTTATTATTGCTAACTTTTAACATTTTGTATAATAAATAGGTTTGACAAGCGAGTGAGGTATGTCTCTAGGAAAGAAAGGGCTGATGTGAGACGGCGTGTGAAAGGACGGTTTGTCAAGTCCGGTGAAGCTTATGATTACGACCCGATGAGCCCAACAAGAAGCTACTGAGGATAAGACCCCAAAACAATGAAGAATCACAAAGTGGAGATATCAGACAGATGCAACTAATTGGCAGCAGTGGATCTGGAGGCCATTATTGGTTGATTAGGAACACTGAGTTCTCCGCCTCAAAAGCTTAATGGTAAGGCCCATGCTTCTACTGCCTCATTTTGCATAAAGTTTGTTATCTTCTTCTGTCATTTGGCTGCTTCAGCATGACCTTGCCTCTTCTACAGAATGAGGTGCATGATCCTTAAATTTTGTTCTATTGTAATTTGTGTAGCCAAGGCAAAACAACGAATGTATATATTTTTTAATGTCATATAAATATTAATCATGTAGAAGATTGGAGTATCATAGAGTCTGTTCTATATTTACGGTATTGGATAATGGATACTAAAAAGTGTATTCTTCGAAAGAAGAACCACAAGAATCACCAATGTTTTGTATTTGGATATTCCATTATCTTGCTTTCACCTTTTTTTTGCACTATAAAAAAAAAACTGAATTCATTCATATTGATCAGACAAGAATCTGCTTGATACAAAAACAAAATTAAGGTTTGCTCGTACAGTAACTACTGGTTAAGCAATTTCACAAGTACTCAGTCTTCGTAACTTTCATCTCCTGACATAGCGGCAAAATCATCTCCCTCCTTTGTTTCCTGCAGACATTTCAATTTCGAGTTTCAGGCAAAGAGTATATATCGATAAGCCAGGTGGTTCCAGATTTGCGGATATGAATGAAAAGGATACCTGATTTTTGTCCCAGTCCTTCAGCTTTGGGTTTGCTAACATGTAATTATCTCGTAGAGGAGCCCAAGCAGGAGCTTCTTCTTCGGATTTTTGAGCCTGCACCATCCAACAGAAACTCACAAGTAACTAACCAACAATACTTTAGACTTATAACTAACAGCTCTCACTAACGAAGGAGATTCTTTCCGTGACTTTCTCTATAGGAGCCAGCTCAAGACAAGATACTAACTTGCATCTACATTCAGTAGTAATTTACCAAGGATACTTTTGATTTATAACTAACAGCTATCACTCACTCATGAGGTGATTCTTTCCGTGACTCTCTATAGGAGCTAGATCAAGATAGAATACTAACTTGTTTTTATGTTCATCTAAAGGCAAAGGGTTAAACACTCAAGATAAAGCATAATGAGAAAGAGAGTGAGAGATATGGAGACTATGCCAAACCTTGGGGTCTGTTTTTGTTTTCCCTAACTCAGAGAAGAATGCTTCTTTTCTTCGCTTCTTCAGCACTGTTGGATGTTACAATAAAACACAAAACCAGGTTTAGAAGACAAGAATAAGACAGTAATACAGAAAGATTCAGGCCAAAGATCAATATCTAAAGCCTACCTTTAGCGTCTTTAGACCTAGAAGGATTCAAACCCTTCTGAGCATGTTGAGCCTTGTTTACCTATTTGAAAACAACAAATTTAGAATCAGAGGATTCACTCTCTGATAATAAACACCCCAAAAAAAGAAGTAGAAACAAACTTACAGCATTAAAAAGCTTGACCACTGTGATTCCACGAGTTCATGGAGAGAAAAAAACTGAGTCAATACTAAAACAAACAAAAAAAAACAATCTAAAGAAACAGAGAGTTAACATAAGCAACAATACCTCCTTTAGTAGCAACACCAATAAGAATCTTTTCATGAGAATCCAAATAACTTTCAGGTTTAACATGTCCTTTCTCAGCAATCTTAAAAAAAGCAATTGTTACAACAAATCATCATCAAAAACACACAAGAACACAAAAGAATAGTGAATACAAAAAACCAAACTCATACCAAATGTTTAGCCTTTCTAGCTTGACCTTTAGCTTTCTTTTCAGCTTCTTCTTCAGCTAGTTTCTCTCCAATAAGATGCTTATGTGCTGATAAAACTGGACCCTGTTACACAAACAACACCAACACAATTCAACACTTCCCCAAATCAAAATTCAAACTTAGAATCTTCAAGAAACTAGTTCATATCTCTCACCAATGTATCATCTCCTTTAGTCTTCTTCATAATAGCTTTAAAAGCAATTTTAAAAGCATTACATCCATCAGTAGCAAACTTAGTGATTCCAGATTCAATCTCTCCATGATCTTCACCATCTGAATTCTCATCATTATCTTCACCATCTTCTTCTTCAATTTCTTCGTAATTTGGTCCCATGTTAGCATCAGAGAAGATCTTCTCACGAATTGTTACTTCTGGTTGCTTCTTCGATTCGTCTTCTTCTTCTTCTTCATCGGAATTGTAGTCTCGTGCTCTCTTCTGAAATAGCTTTTGATTCTTCATTGTAACCTTAAACCTATCGGAGGAAGAAGGTTTTGATTTTAGCTTTTTGTTCCTCGCCGCTTTAGTACCTTTCTTTACGCCGACTCTTCTCTTTCTAGAGCCTCTATCTGCCATCTCCATGTGACCTTCTTCTCCGGTAGACATGGTTTCGTCGATAAATTTGGGTTTTCACGGCGGCGAGAGTTTGGGAGAGAAGAGACGAGAGATAGGGTTTTGTTATTGCTTTCTTTAAACCTTGCTCTTTAAGGAGATATGTTTTCGGATTTTGATTTCCGGTTAAGTTCGGGTTCGAATTTGAAATTTGGGTTTGGGTCGGGCTTTGATTTCAATTGATAAATAATGGTTTCCACATGGTTAGCGTCGGATATAAGATTTGGTCGCGTAATCGGTTATTGGCCAAACCAGGATTTTACTAAAAGCTTGAGTGGAGCGGATGCAGTTGCAAATGTTGAAATTTATAGAGCCGGACAATTGGTTTCAAGAGTTATTATACATTTTAAACTATTGATTTAACGGTTAAAAATTACATTTATTGGAGTTTTATTATTGGTTAACCGGCATATGTTATAGGAGTTAAATAAAAAATGACCAAAATAAAATATTCTATAAATATAAAAATGTAAAAACATCAAAATTTTATATTATTATGATAAAATATTAAATTTCTAATAAGAAAAACCATTAAAAAGTTTTACATAATTATAAATTCTATCTCTCACTCACTCTCCGTTTGTTTTTCAGAACGATTGAGAATCTAACTGAGAATCTTTCAATTTGCAGGCTATTCACAAGGCTACACACTGGCCTTCATATGAGTTGTTGACTGATCCATGACTTTTTGAACTCTTTCCGTTTGTTGTCTTTCCAAATTTACGAAAGAGTTTGCGTAAAAGTCTGAAGAATATCACACTCTCTACTTGGAGAATTAAGAATCCTTGGATTCTAGGTTCATATTCTGCTGCTCAAGCACGTTTGGATTGTTGGGCGTATGCCATTGTCCCTCATTTTGAATGCCTCTTAAAGTTTGATAAAAGGATTGTCATGGATGAATACCTATCAGTGGATGAAATTTATGATAAACTATTAAATTTTCTAAATACAACTAATAATAAAACCATTAAAAAAGTATTACATAATTATTCAAAAACAAATAAATTTCATATTGAAATGTTTATTACTTCATGAATTTGATTCATCACTAAAAATTGCATCAGGTAATATGATACACTACAAACAAATGTTTGAATCAGAGATATTCCAGATGAACAGTATTAGTACAATACTTATATTCGTATTTTGCCTTTTCACAGGTTGATTGAAGCCATGATTTTGATGGAAAAAATAATTTAGAGTTTTGAGAGTTAACGTTAATATATAGGACCTGATAAAAAGAATCAGTTTTTAGAGTTTTGAGAGTTCACGTTAATATATTTATTCTTTCCCAACTATCTAGTCCATTTCGAGACGAAAAATCTGTATCATTCCATTAGTTAAGTTTGTGTTTGTTAGTTGAACTTGGGTCGAAATTTGGGTTTAAGTTAGGTTTTGATAATCGATTATCGAATCAAAAATAAAACTGGAATCAAAATCTTTGTCAAACAAACTACAATTATTAGAGCAATCCAATCATTGTTATAGAAATAGCCCACTAGCCCATGTGTTTAAGGTTTCCATCATGATAGATTCATATTAATCTATATTAGTATTTTTGAAGTACATTTTGTACAAGATGGGTTAAAAATTTATCCGAGATTTTTGGTATCCGATCCGGTACAAAATTTATTTCAAACTCTTACACCGGATATTCTATTTTTTCGTTGGATTGGGTATAAGAAACCAAACTCTAACACCGAATATTCCATATTTGACAATATTAATTTTTTGAAGATTTGGTTAAAATTTAAAATTATGATTTTTCTATCATTTTTGTTTGACTTTTGTAATTGTTTTGAATCATCATTTAATACATAACGTTAATAAAAAAACTCAATTTTTTTTATTCTACATATATTGTGATTCGAAATTCTAAAAACGAACATATATTACCCAATTGATGAAAAATGTGTGTTCAACGTCCCACATCGGCTAAACTGTTTAGGCAATGATTTAGAATCATATTATAAATAAGATCAAAATGAATCCAAATCCGAACGAAAAAGAAGCTTAACTTAACAAGCATCCAATTTAAAAATTTGTATACGGTTTAATTCGGTCTTTAGTTTAACTGTTTAATTTTACTGAAATATTAAATTTTAAATTTTTTAAAAAGTTTTTAATATAATAATTGATATAACTAAAATCAATATAATAATTGATATAACTAAAATCAATAAAAAAAGTTTATAATATTATGAACATTGGAACAAATATAAAAAATTAAAATAACAAAGGATGGATTATATTGCGGGAAAGGGTTATATGGCGGGACGGATTTGAGTCAACATTAATCAAAATTTAAAATATCATTAACCCGCTGCTTCAATACGGATTAAATATTTAGTTTATTATTTTTAACACCACAAATATTAGATATATCAAATCAGCCAGATTTAAATAAGATTGAATCAAACCAAAAATATCTGGTGGTATACCGTTACTTAATAAAAATTGTAAATTATAAAATATAAATATTTTATAAAATGATACAATTTGCAAATTTTTATATATAATAAATAATCATTAAATTTTTAAAATCACTACTTTTAGAAAACGAACCGTCCCGCGATGTACTACGAGTTAAAATCTAGTTTGTGTAATAAAAACAAGAGAAGTATCTTTAGGAGTTGCCTCTTGTGGAACACTCTCTCTTTTTTCTTTGGATGAGATCAGTCAAAGAATCACTTTAATCTTGGTGACAATCAGAATATTTTCTTCTATTCTATTTCTTGCACAATAAAACTTGATGAACAATCTTATTTTCAAATTTAGATTTCTATGTTAATAAGCTCATATGAGCACAAAAATCTATCTTGGTTTCGTTTGTCCCAGAACAGTTTCATTAACTTAAGACATAAAAGTTTAACTTCTATTAAGGGAAGGTACAATAAAGCTATTTCGATTTCCTTCTCTCTCAACTATTTCTATCCAATTCGAGACAGAAAATCCTCACTTTTCCCTAAAACATATAAAAAACCCTCAATTTTTTTTTTGTTGGTTTTTAAACCCTCACCTTTTCATAAATGGTAAAATAAACCCTATTACTAATAAACTCATATTTAATTTAAACAAATTGTTATATTAAAACAGCAACAAACAAAAACCATTTATTTTATGATTTATTTTTTTTCAAATTCGAGTTTGCGATTTTTTTTCATCTAATATTAAGGTTTTTGCGTATAAAAATTCATCCACCATTTACTTGAGATTAAGCAAATCATCTTTTGTTACTATTAGAAGTTATGTTATATAAACTACAAAATTTATAGGATAGCAAAAATTTATAGGGTTTATTTTACCATTTATGTAAAAGTGAGGGTTTAAAAACCCACAAAAAAAATCGAGGATTTTTTATATGTTTTTAGAAAAGGTGAGGGTTTATTTACCTATGTTTCCCCTTGTTTTCTTTCAAATAATCATTTTTTGGAGTGTTTAATATAAATGATAACTATGCAGCCAATTGGTAACGACTGTTATTTTTGGCTTTAAAGACTTTCGCTTTAAAGACTTTCGCTTTAAAGACTTTGGCTGTAGAGACTTTTGCTGTTAAGACTTTGAGTGTAAATTTTTTATAACCGATTGGTAAAACATTTGACTATAGAAATTATGATTTTAAATAACTATCGAAAATATGGAGAAATGGATCTTAATAAAACAAGAAAAAAAATTCCATTGTAAATCAACTGAATTTTTAAGAAATTAGTTATTTAAAGAATTTTATGAGAGATTTTATATTCATTGGAAAGAGGAAATAAGAAAAACTTTAGGTTTTTATTATTTTTATTTTGAAAGGTAGGAATATGTGACTTTAGAAAAAAACTAAAACTAAAGAGTAAAAAAAAAGAAATGGTTGTAGAGACTTTTAAATTAACTAAAACCAATAAAATGTGATTGGAAAAATAATGACTATTAAGACTTTTAAAATTTTTTAAAGCCTCGAAAATCTTTACCAATGACCCATGTAGTCTAACTGATATGTAATTGGATAAGGTGTGTGATGGAGTATTCATATTATCCATATCAGTATTTTACTTTTCTTGAAAATTTTCAAAATACCCAAAAATATAGAAATATTTAATTGCCTACAAATTTGAACCTATTTTCTAACCCAAAATTTTTATCCCGTATTTTATTCAAAATAATTTGAATAATATTTTTTTATCATCCTAATTATTTGTTTCCAATTTTTAACCCATTAATTTTCGTCCCAATCCCCAACCCACCATATTGAGTCAACAAACAACAAAAAAATATATTTAAAATAAGGATTTGCGTAAATAAGTAAAGTTTCCATGTGCAATTAATTTCCAAATACAAGTAGATTGCTTCTTATAAGGATTTATTTATGTATGTAGAAGAAAGGGTTGATACAGTAAATTAACAACAATTTATTTTTTAAAAAAATTAGAGATTAGAAGGACAGACAGATCACAGAGCCGTCGTGTTGCTCTTCATCGTAGTTATCGTCGCTGATTCACCAACGACACCAACAAGGCAACAACAACATCACAAGAAAGCGTCCTCTTTTATAGGACCCTCTCTCTCTCTCTTTCTCCCAGTTATATTGTAGAATTCGTTGTCATATTCGTCGCTCTCTTCTGGAATTGAAGTATCAAGGTAAACGATCCCACATAGATCTCTGCATTTCTCATTCACTTCCCAAATGGATCTGACTCTTAATAAGATTGGTCCCTTGTTGACTTTTGACACCATTTTGTAGATTACTAATGGCCCATACATCAGAATCTGTGAATCCTAGAGGTAACAACACTCGTTCATTGGTAAACTGAATTTGAAAGATGAAAACTTTTTTTGATACATGAATGTTGATGAATCAGATGTTTGCATTGTGGGTGTTGCACGTACTCCAATGGGTGGCTTTCTTGGATCTCTTTCATCTTTACCTGCCACAAAGCTTGGATCTTTAGCTATTGCAGGTAAAAAAAAAAAACAGATAATGTTTCTGTGCAAAGTCTTTAGCTTTATGTGTACATGACGTGCCCTTGTTGTTGCTTTTTTACTGATTTAGCTGCTTTGAAGAGAGCAAATGTTGATCCAGCTCTTGTTCAAGAAGTTGTTTTTGGCAATGTTCTTAGTGCTAATTTGGGTCAAGCTCCTGCTCGCCAGGCTGCTTTAGGTGCAGGAATCCCTAACTCTGTTATCTGTACTACAGTTAACAAGGTTTGTGCATCAGGCATGAAAGGTGAGAACTTTGGGACTTTTGGACTCTGCTTTTTTTTAGACTTTTGATTTGATGCATTTGATAATGTTTTTCGGGTTTGTTTGGTGGTTTTCAGCTGTAATGATTGCTGCTCAAAGTATCCAGTTAGGGATCAATGATGTAGTTGTGGCGGGTGGTATGGAAAGCATGTCTAATACACCAAAATATTTGGCAGAAGCAAGGTAAAATGATGTGGTTTTACGGAATCATTTGGTGTTTCTACTATATGTATCATTGTTTCTTATTCGATTTGTTGATGCAGGAAAGGATCTCGATTTGGTCATGATTCGTTAGTAGATGGAATGCTAAAGGATGGACTATGGGATGTCTATAATGACTGTGGGATGGGAAGTTGTGCAGAATTATGCGCTGAGAAGTTTGAGATTACAAGAGAGCAGCAAGTATGTTGATCCTTAGTTTTCTTGAATTAAGACTCGTGATGCTTGTTGCATATTTGTCTCCCATTAACTCATTATTGGTAGATACTCTGCATTAACCTTCTGAATAATCCAGTGTCTTAATTCTTGTTCTTGATGCCATGATAACTAGCCATATGATAGTTTACCACTCTCCGAAACTGTGAATTACAAGAATTGGTTAGTTGGGCTCATTGTTTATGGAAACTCAAAACACGAGTTGATTTGGGTCTTGTTGATGAATATGCAGGATGACTATGCAGTTCAGAGTTTTGAGCGTGGTATTGCTGCCCAGGAAGCTGGCGCCTTCACATGGGAAATCGTCCCGGTTAGTATATTTTTGTATCGTTTTTGGTTAATGCGTTATACATGGTGAATATACACTAAGGTAATTGAGTATGCAGGTTGAAGTTTCTGGAGGAAGAGGTAGGCCATCAACCATTGTTGACAAGGACGAAGGTCTTGGGAAGGTGATTTATGTACCCTTTTGGTTTATAGATTATGCATTTATACTCCAGTGAATCTAATTTGTTATGATTTGCTACATGTATGGTGTCTCAATGTCTCAGTTTGATGCTGCCAAATTGAGGAAACTCCGTCCTAGTTTCAAAGAGAATGGAGGGACTGTTACAGCAGAAATGCGTCTAGCATAAGGTGTTTTTCCTAGATGACCATATATATATATAGATTCTCATCTTTTAGAGAACTCATGTAACCTATGACGTGGATCTTGGTTAGATTTGCAACTTCTTTTTCTCTTAAGTCAAATTTGTCTCTCTTTCACAGTGATGGTGCAGCTGCCCTTGTCCTAGTGAGCGGAGAGAAGGCTCGTCAGCTAGGACTTCAAGTATTAGCAAAAATTAAAGGGTATGGTGACGCAGCTCAGGTACGTTACTTATAATCTCGCATTCCTTTTTTCTATACAATCTAATTCCAATCACTAAGTGAGACCCAAACCCTGCAGGAACCAGAGTTTTTCACTACTGCTCCTGCTCTTGCTATACCAAAAGCCATTGCACATGCTGGTTTGGAATTTTCTCAAGTTGATTACTACGAGATCAATGAAGCATTTGCAGTATGAAAATCCGTTTTCTTCCCTAAAGAATAGACAAACCATTGTGATGGGTAATTTTTTTTAATAAACTGACCCTTTTCGCAGGTTGTAGCACTTGCAAATCAAAAGCTATTAGGGATTTCTCCGGTAAGTCTTTTGCATCATCAAGTCTCTTAAAAACATCATCTTCGCAATAAACTTACTCAAGTGATTTCATTAACTTGAGTTTTGTTACGATTTGCTTAAACAGGAGAAAGTGAACGTAAATGGAGGAGCTGTCTCCTTAGGACATCCTCTGGGCTGCAGTGGCGCCCGTATTCTAATCACATTGCTTGGGATACTAAAGAAGAGAAACGGAAAGTACGGTGTGGGAGGAGTGTGCAATGGAGGAGGAGGTGCTTCTGCTCTTGTTCTTGAACTCCTTTGATGCATTATGAATTCAGGTAGCTCACATTCTGCATAGTGTTCATAAATCGAATACGTAGAATGCAGGAAAGGAACTTATCATCTTATCTCATGTGTGTTTTTTTTCTCAGGTTGGTAAACTAAATAGATGGATCTATCTCTCTTCCAACTTCCAACTTCCAAGAGTCAGTAATTGCAGTTCAAGTTTGATGTTAGTTGGGTCTCTCAATAAAGGAGTGATCGTTGATGTTAAGTCTATTTATTTATATGAACTCGGCTTCTTTTTTTTTCTTTCTGGTGACAGTCAGTTCTAAATTATGGTCCGATTTATCGTAGATGATGATTTATCCTCTTGTACTGTCGGAAAATTGATTGAAACGTCGACCAAGATTTGACATTTGATTAGGTAAATTTTAAGTACATAATGTGCATGCATGACAAGAAACAAAAATAACTGGACATTTCTGTAAAGGCAAAAAGTCCCTGCACACTTGAGCATTATTTTTTAAAAGAAGAGACTTCAATGGAGACACAATGAAGATTTCTCTATACAAAAAGTTTATACTCGGAGCTCACTCTGAGATATCTCTTCCAAAAAGGGAGCTGATTGCCTTCCCCGGATCACTTTGTTTAATAAGAGATTCACCGACTAGAACCTAATAATAGAAAAAGAAAATCACATGGGAGCTAAGATCAGGTGAACCATTAGCATTTTGAGAAATGTTATCTTGAGCCATAAAGTTTGTGAAAGCTTACTGCTTTGACGCCGGCTTCTTGAACAAAGGCAATATCTTCGGGAGTGAATAACCCAGATTCTCCAACCACCTACCGTGTAAAGACAAGTTGAGGATAGACAAACTTTAAGTAAGGTGTGTGTAACATTGTAAGGGTTAAGAGAATACTACTTACAAGGATGTCTTTTTGACGGATCAATTCGCCACGCTCTCCCTCAAGTAGCTTCTTTGTGATACCAAGATCTACCTCAAATGTTTCTGAAAGAAAGGGTGATAAAACGGATCAAGAAGGATTGTATGTCTAGCTTTAATGGAGGTCTTGTTCAAGCTTTTACCAAGGTTACGGTTATTGATGCCAATGAGCTCGACTCCTTCAATTGCAAGAACACGATCCATCTCCCTTTCGTCATGAACCTAGTGGCAAGTGGTAACCAAACCAATTCAGAAAATACAATAAGGATTAGGAAGAGGCAGAATTATTCACTGAGGCATATACGAAAGTGGTTCCCAGAGGAAACACATACAAACCTCCACAAGTGTAGCCATTTTAAGTATTTTGCAAATCTTAATCATGTATTTGATGTCAAGGTCAGGTAACACAGAAGCGATCAACAAAACTGCATCGGCGCCTTTACTTCTACCATAGTATATCTGCCATGCCTCAACAATGAACTCTTTCAATAGCAAAGGGCACTGCATTTATTATGACAAGACATCAGAACGTTGCATGTCACTGTTATATGACAAAGTATCTGAACAGGATTATACAGAGAAACAAGAAAAAGGAGAAAACAAGAACCTTTACACCAGCTTCCCTTATAGCTTGCAGGTTCTCATAGCTTCCCTATATGGAGATAGATTACGGCTTCATTACGAATAAGGTATTTCAAATTTCAGTTGGTCTCAAAGAACATCTTCTTCATGGTCTTACCTTGAAGTATTTGTCATCTGTCAAAACACTAAGACATGCTGCTCCACCCTTCTCATAAGCTTGTGCAATTTCAACCTACGATTTCAAGCCTTCAGACGTAATTCTTTCAATCCCGAAACTTATTCACGTTAACAGAATGTGATAAAGGAGGTAAATTCTTACCGGGTTAAAATCCTCTCTCAGGATTCCTCTGCTTGGAGAAGCTTTCTTAACCTCAGCTATTAAACCCGGCAACCCTGTTCTTTGATGAGCCGATCTAAGAGCACCAATGAAGTCTTTAGCAGGAGGAACATTATCAAGAGCCTTCTTCAAGGTATAAAGTGGCTTCCTCTCTTTCATCTGAGCAACTTCTTTATCCTTATGCCATACGATCTCTTCCAAGATATTACGAGGCGTGTTACCCTCGTTCTGGAGGCGGAACTCAAAAGGTCCAACGTAATGCAAGGGAGGTCCAGTAGGTGGTCTTCTCCTAATTCTTATACCTTGACTCTCAACTACTTCATTCTGGTACATTCCCACTTCTTGCTCACTAATCTTTAGATCACTTACTTTACCCTCCAATGCCGAATCGGAACCCTCCGTGATTCCAGACTAACCAAAAACAAAAAGCTACTTAGTTCCCAACATAACTACATAGTTTCTTCAAACATCACAGATTCCTAAAGTGCACAAAGTCTTCAACTTTCAACAAGCAACAGAAAAACGATTCCAGGATACTAGAGAGGACCTACCTAACATCGATTCTGACTTTTTATCCCAACTCCTGAAGCTGAAAAGCTATTGTATACAATTCCGAGGCTAAGATAGAAAGAAGAAGATTGAATTGGATGAAAAATGAAACCTTTTGAGCACGAAGAGGAAGACAAGAAGAGGGTCTGGTAAGTCTATTGTGGAGGTTTAACGGACAGAGCCGCCGTCGAATGGCGGAGGAGGGAAAGTGCTGATGAGAAAGCATTGCTTCCATTTTTTTTTGTTTGAGTCTTCTTCGCTATCTCTCGCCGGGAATGCTATTTTGTGGAGTGGAGGAGACACTTTTGTGCGGCGGATAATCACAAGTGGGTCCTACTTACATAAAAAATGACACGTAGTTTTCCAAACGGCAGCCTCTCATCAAGATATTTAATTTTTTTTACATGGGCCTACACGGATCAGCCCTAAGCCCATTAATCCCAGCAGGAGTTGAACTCTTTTATTAACCACGTATTGTTTTTTATTATTGGTTGACCAATTTTTTGAAAATGTTTTTACAAAGAGAACATCTTAGTCTTACATTAGTTCCGGTCCTAAAGTTTAATTGACGGTAGAATAAAGAAGTGAAAATAACTATTTGATCCATGTAAATCAAAATCCTAAGAGGTGTAACATTAAAATTTAAATAAAAAGCAACAGTTATTCATACTATAGTGGCTAAGGTACCGTCGTTTTGCTGAAGCTGAAGCTCGTATTAGTTATGAAAAATACTTAACGAGTATGGCAAGGTATGATGATAATAGTTACATATTTATTTGTGTTGTTAAATTATGCATACTTATTCATTTTGTAAATGTTGAACAACAGCGATCAACACTGGGGAGACGGTATAACCATAGCTGCTGCTGCACAAAGGGTATGTTTTTGATATCATGGTTTTCTTTTAGTATCTTCCTTTTAATGATAAAATCATTGTTTCTCTTTTGTGTCTAGTTGTCTTTGAAGTTATATGATACATCTACATGTCAGGAAGATTCACATTTTTTGCTGGATAATTGTTACTTTTTGTTACATGTGTTTTAACATTATTTTAATCATTTTACAATGTTGATTGTATTTGGACGTAATGTCAGTTACAAAGAAAGAACTAACAATCTTTTTTTTCGAAACATTCATTCGATGTTTTATTTTCTTGTGATTTGTTTGTGAATTAAGTGTAATTTTTTACGCAGTTCTCAAATAAACATCTTACTAATAAGGCAAAGGCATTGATATAGAAAGTGAAAGAGCAGACTGACACATCCACAATGATCCTAAGTAAAATAAAGAATCACGTGGTTTTGTTTATGCGATTGTATATTTTTTGTTATATGCGTGTAATTTTGGTTCGAATTGCGTGGAATATTGTTTTAAAGATCATTGTAGTTTTGTTTATACAAGTAACCGAGATAAAATCAAATATTTCAGGGATTAGGTTTGATTTTTAAGAATTAGTCTTCAGATTTATAAGTCAAAATATTACTTTTCAAAGTAATAGTATGTCATTTCTTTCTTTCTTATAATCGTCACTTTATTAATTTTACAGAACTAGACAACTAGAAATCTTACAACCGTACAAGTAATCATCTACATACAACCATTAGATATCATAATCATTTTTTTCTTAAATAATCTGCCACATTCATCGAAACAAAAACTTGCAATGAGATATAAACTATTATCAAACACAAAGCATCCAAAACCAAGTTCAAATAGCGATGACCAATATTTTATGATAGTATTTTCAATTTTTATAAAAAAAATTTTAACTTCAAATGTAAAACGAAGTTGTTAAACTAATTAATACAAAATTACTTTTATTTTCTTTATATTTAAAATTTATCATTGCTAGTTGGAAATTAAAGTAAATTAACTAGCAATTATCTTACTTTAATCCAACATTTTTGATCAAATAAAATTAAAACTCGGGATATATTGGTCTACTTCATAAATTGCAGATTTGGAAATTGATTGTTTTTTTTATATCCTTTGAATCAAACCACGAATGATCTGCTTGAAAGATAAATTGGTTGCATCGAAGACTGACCAATACACTAAGCTAAGGTCTGAAATTTCCTATAGTTTATCATCCTTGTGCTTCTGCTAGTGCACTGGTTTGTTCATATTGCTACACCTTGCAGGCCTGCACCTTTGAAGTGATGAAGCTTTGAAATAACTCCTTTTGTATCCAACAATAATTGGTCATGTATCCAATCTCTTATCTCATGGCTGCTATTGAACTTGACTTTCCAAGACTTGAAGCCCTTGACCTTCTTCCTATATCACTACAAGAAATTAGTGATTTTACAACAATGAAATTTGTTGCAATAATTCAACATATATGTTGTTGTAATTGTGCTTTCTATGAAGCATCATGTCGAATACTTGATATGCAACAGCTTTTTGTGTGACACTTGTTGACTCAGATTTGAAATCATGAAAATGATAACAGCTTGTTTTGATCCGAACGTCACGACACACCATTTGAAGAATGTCACATGTTTGATCTACGCTCACCGCACCCTTTGATAAGCTTTTAACTTGTAAACTCTATGGATTAAAAGCTAAATCTCATTAATACTCGCTTGTCTCAGATCAAATCCATAAATAATAATAAGATCCAGCAACTCCAAACTCTTAGATTACAGAAATAGAAATGAAGAAACAAATAAAAAGTGAGATCAGAATCTTCAGCACTCCCTCAGATTCTTCTCTCCCCACCATAGTCTCATAGCGACTAACCTCCCACTTGATTCGACATAACCTTCCTTATCACCTCTTCTCTTATTTATATAACACTTATTCTTACTCACACAACAAACCAAGATTCCTTCCCACATGTCGTTTCTGATAAGCATCAAACATCGTACGTGTGAGCAACCTCATATATGGTACCACCTTATCAGCTTCGTTGAAGTAAGTCGGGGCTTTTATTTACTCCATTGAATTATGTTGGATTTTAGTTTACATCTCAAATTTGATAAGATTTTTAGGTGAACCGTTATAGGTCGGAGATTGTTTTGTCTTTTTTTCTTCTCTCTAGTACGATAGTATTTGAGGTGTAAATTAAAATCTAGGGATGCTCTGATGTTCCTCTTGCTCAGCCGTCGATCTGGAGTCTACGGCCACGGCGGAAGTTGGTGGTGATATGGTGGGTTTCGCTGTCTGGTGAGGTGGTTAATTGTAGATCCGGTTGGAGCTTAGAAGGCTGATGCGGGATTCCGGTTTCAGAGGGTTAGGGTGAGCTCCGCCGTCTGAATCTGCCGCATTTGGCATCCACACACCCGGTTGAGGACTAGCAGCTCAGGTATATCGGAGAAGTTTCGGTCTGTGAAGAAAGGGGTTAGACCTAAGTGTTTCGGGTTGCTAGGTATGGAACAGTTACCGTCGAACCGGTGAGTCGGAGTGGCTAGCTTTCTAGGAGAGTTGTGGTGGGTTGGTGCCTCGCCGGAAAGGATCTGCGGACAAAAACCGGAATCTTTCGTCAGCAGTTCTCGATCCTTTGAGGTGGCCGCAAAGCCGTGACTCTTGATTCCGCCGGATCTAAGGCTCCGGCCACTCTGCCACCGATGATCAACAGGGTTCGAGCTTTTCATTTTTTCCGGCAGTTTTCCGATATACCTATTTTGTAACTAGACCTAGCTTTGTAATGGGCCTTGGCCCAATCCCTTATTTGGGCCGATTTTATTAATAATATTGTTATAAAAAAAAAAAAAAAAAAAAAAAATTAAAATCTAGATACTACCAAAAGACATAAAGTTAGAAACGATTATATCCCCTAAATCGTTGCAAACTAACGATGATGTTGCAACAATTTAATTTCTTCGCTACTAGCTCGTCACAAACTAAAATTCATCGCTAAATCAATTCCCAATAAATTTCTGACAGATCATGGAACAGTCAAAATTTTATCGGAAATTCTCCTTGGTTTCTTGTAGTGTCGTAGACTCGTAGATGTTTTTTCTTCAGTAAAATCCTTTTATTGGTAGTCGTAACTTAAGCTGTTGGAGTTTACAAAACTCAAAATTTGAAGGAGTACAATATGAATAAGGCTCGATTCTTTTAAAAGAGTAAACACAAACTTAATTAAACTCATACTAAAATTAACGATTAAATTTACTTTTATATAGGTTATTGATTTCGAACCGGAAAAAAAAAACCAAAATTAAAGGAAAACTCTCAAATTCACAACCCATAAGTAGAATTATTTCTAATAACCGATTTGCTACATCCTCCAAACAATGTGAAGCAAATGCAATGTGTACAATTTTTATAAATAAACCAATGTATCCTAGTACGTATTCACTTATTCTGGATAAAGACATGTTTATATGTAAGTTAATAAAGACATATCTTATAGAGACCGTAGTTAATTAAGTAGAAACATAACTCTATAAGTACATTTATAGTCTTAAACATGTAGAATGACAAACTCTTTGAAAGTCTTAAAAGGATTATGGCACAATTATTGTCTTGGAACAATGATCCCTGAGTCTGCGAGAAGGAGGGATGAGTGGAGCGAAGATAAACATATGAGGGATGCAATCAGCATCGAGACCCAAAAAGGCATGGCAGCAAGAAGGACCTACATCCCCGAACTGTCCATTTGTTATCGATCGGAAAATTTCCGGGACACAGTCGGGAATAACTTCTATTGATGACCAACAATCTATTTGGGAAGGTTGCGGTGATGGCAACGGTTGAGCTGTAGCGAACACGACGATGCATACAAGTGGAAGAAGGAAGAAGAACTTGTTGGTCCACATTTTGATTAGAGAATTGGAATGATTTATTGAGTTTATATTTGATATGAATCTATGTAAGTGATTGGATTTATATAAGTTGAACAAAAATGTTTTTAAGTTGCATACTGTGAACGTTCTCATTGTCAAGAATTATGGAAGCACACTTGGGATGACCCCAAATAAAGGTGACAGTTTGTTAAGTTGTTTATTTTTTTTTTATTTTTTTTTTGTTGATGAATTACTAGATAAGCTAGATTAATATTGTTTTCTACACGTGTACTCTTTTTTATTATAAGAGAAATAAGTAAATGGAATATTTATGAGAAATTTTCACTTTCCAGAATTTCTTGTAGGATTAGGTACTCCATACTTAGGAAAAGTACTAAAAATTACCATCTGATGGTACTTGTTCATCAACATTTGTTCATAATATGTTTGGAAAAATTAAAGAAAAAAACTCCATTTACCTTTTATTTGGATGAGACCTAAATTTTTTTTGTCCTAAGATCCTAATTAAAACGTACGATTAAATAACCAAAAAAATTAAATGTTATTTTCATACTTATTTTTTTGTCAACAATTTTAATTGATAAGACTCAAATGAGTGAGTGCCGAAAAATATTATTTACATATATAAGCAACATATTGCGGTTGGGAAAGAACTATTCGTGCCAATTTATCCGTTTTGATATTTGTACAGCGAAAAAAGAAAAATAAGAAAAAATTAGAAATCATTCTCATTGCTTTTAATTTCCTCCAAGTATACTGCAAGATATGTCTCACTTATCGACGGTTATTTTCATACTCACGATCTCAAAAGAAATACAAAATTCCAATTCTACTTTAACCATTTCAATTAATTATTAATTTTCAAAGACAAATACCCCAAATACGACAAAAGGAAATAACCAAGGACAAAACTTAAAGCCCAAGCAAGAATGTAAATACAAAATACTAAAGAAAATCCATACGAAATTAGTAGAAGACTCCGCCTCTAAACCGTACCGTATCTGATTAACCTAGTTCAGTGTTATAAAATTAAATCAGCGTAGCGTTCTCAAAGTAAAGATTATGATTAACCTAATTATCTCTGTTCCTCGTACCTAGATCTGTCGGGTTCCTTCGCTTTTGATCCCTCTAGTTTCTAACTTTTGAAACACTTTTTGCAGGTGCTTTGTCTAGATCATCGTATCTATATGAAACACGAATGTCCAAAAGGAAACAGAGGAGATATCACAGTGGTTATTTGTCTGTTTTGTGATACAGGAGTTCGGCCAAACCCTGACGAAGATCCAAACATAACTTGGGATAAACATGTTAATAATAATACACATTGTGATCCCTCAAGAGCTGTCAAGAAGAAGAAACAATGTCCTGTTCCTAGGTGCAAAGAAGTCTTGACATTCTCTTATACTATAACATGTTGAGACTGCTGCATAGATTATTGCTTGAAACATCGGTTTGGACCTGATCATAGTTGTTCTGGACCCAAGACACCTGATTCGAGAGTCTCGAGTACAAACACAACAGTAGCTGCTACAAGCGCTCCTGCATCATCGTCATCTTCTTCAATATCGTCTGCTAGTCTTTTGGCTCCATTGTCATTGGAAGCACGTATTAGAAATAGAAGATTGAATCGGACAAGATTAAATCGGACCAAGGAAGATGAAGATCCTAGAGTGGTACAAATCCCCCTATGGATGATCAGGGAAGGATTGGATTATCTGGTTAGGGAACCGAGAGGACAGATGAGTCAAGAAGAAGAAGATGTTGAATGGGAAGAAGAATAAGCTCATGTTTCAGGTCGTTTTGAGTTTACTGTTACTTCATATCCAATTCACCTTACTAGATAGATGATCATATGAAACAACACATTAGTTAGTTAGTTAGAAGAGACCTTGTTTAGGTTTTTAAAGTATAAAACCGAAATAGAGCATTTGCATTTCTTCCAAATGCAGAAAAAGAACAAATCTCTTCGAATGCATTGAGAATACAGAGCTTAAAGAAGAAGATACTTGTTAAGAGTTAAGACATGCTCACAGTTGAACTATATTAGTGGGTTATAATTAAATGATACAGAAAAGAGTTTAGGTCTCGTCATATATAAAGATTATATTTGATATGTTCAACTTGGTTGCTTTTCTGTGTAGCTTAATTTGCAGCCAATGGAAACTACATGAATATGCATGCAAGCATATATATATATATATATAAGAAGAACCCAATTAATCAATAAATTTTATTTTATTCTATTTGTATCTAAAAAAATTAATTATGATATTATTAACAAAAATGAATACATTTCTTTGGAACATCCTTATATTTAATATATATATATATATATATATATATATATAATATTTATTTCATATTCTCATAATATCAAAACGGTGATTTATGGAACCATTCTGGTTTCTGGCAAACCAAACAACACGTGTATACGACTATTCGTTGTATGCTATATAACTCACAAAAAGTAAATTAACCATCTCTAATCAGTTAATATCCAAAAAGCAGCTCATGTTAAATAGTTGTCTCATTATGGATGCATCGAACTCATGGGACGGCATTGTTTTAAACGTTCTGTAATATTCAAGGAAAAATTGTGGGTTGACCGGTGGATTCGTTAGAACAAGAAAAATTATTCTTACATGTCTGGTGGTTTTGTTAAAGCAAGCGAGCCAATAATTCGAAATATAGATAGTGCACAGGCCACATGGGGCCGTCTTATACTGGTTGTGTGGAGGCCAAGAAGTTCGTTATTATTCTCAATAACTATTTCGATCAACATGTTATCCATGTATAGCAACCTAGTTGATGACCATTGTATTTTTTATTTTGTGTTGTTTTTTCTAGCAAGTTTTTTCTCTGCACCGTTTGTTATATTTTCAAACAATTAAAACATTTTTTACACCGATTGTTATGCACTAATCACAATTATTCCTCCGCTTATTCAACACCGTTCCCTTCAATCTATAAAGCTTTAGAATTCTTACTCTCCCAAATCACAAACTACTACTCACTCTAAATTTAATATTACAGAAACAAGAGTTTATCGATGTCATGAGTTATGAGTAAGACTAGAAGCCCTTAGGGGTTCTAGAGGTATGTGGTCGAAATTATGGCTAATTATAAGTTGTGAAAGTGCAAAATTTGGTACGAATGTAGCATACATTTAATGTTGCCTGGATTATTGACCAGATTCCAGTTAAAATTGTCCACGTCCATTCATTCCCACTCTCCTCACTTTTGCTTTTTTTTACCTTTCAGCTTTTGATCTCTTGTTTGTTGTTGATAAAAGTCGCATGTGAACAACTTTTGTTCTCTTGTTTTGGTAGGCATCTCTCCAGAGTATATTTATTTAGTGGTATAACTCTTAATTTTATTACTATGGCCATTTAAATAATCACTTCATAAAATTTTTTGGGAAAATAAAATAACATTTTAGTTTTATGTGTATAATAAATTTAAGAATAATTGTTTTAATAATTTAAATCTATAGAATTACATTAATAAATCTCAAGCTACAATAACCAATTTATGGTGGAATTCTAAAAGCAGTAATTGATGTTTTGATTGGACCGCATGAAAAAGTATAAACCCAAACACGGAGAGGTTTGACCTTTCTAAATTTTTTTAATAAACCTTTGTTAGCTAAACAACTTTAGAGATAATTTCAGTTTTATATTTATTGGTTTGTACAAAAAATTAAAAAAATTTGGTAACTTGAGTATATAAAAATAGATATTTTACGGATGATAATTTCTTACAAGCTAAAATCTTCCATCAACCAAGTGATAATGGTTTAGCCGTTTAGTGGTTCCTATTTAAGGAGAAGTTTCCATGTAGGTCTACGTCAGGAATTATCTAAATCACTCACATTTAGCAAATATAAATGATGTAATGCTTTAAGTCTTTTAGAAAATTCGATGAGTGGACTACTCGACGACTACATTCACCGTAGAAGATTAGTTGAATGGTATAAATTTGGATCACTTCCTAATTATTAAAAAAAATTCCATCTCCCATTTTTTGCATCGATGAGCATACTCTTGGCTCATGATGTGTTGTTAAAGGCATCTGAATGAGATTGGGATCAAGATATAAATTGAATGATCTATTGATTCTGTATGAAACTCTTTGTGCAAGGTATTATTTCATACATCTCTAATTGTTTCCCACTTAACTAACTTTTTTGTGAAAAATGGTATATCCCAATATTTTAGAAATTTGTGGACCCGGATGTAATTCAGATCTTATGAACAGTCCATGAGTAGAACATATAAAGAAGAGAAGGACTCCCTGACTAAATTAAACAAAACTCTACACTAATTAAATTAGAATGGCTATGAACCTTAATTTCTTAAAAGATCAAGTTTGGAAACTCCAATGTCATTCCAAGCTTAAACATTTCATCTGGCATGTAACATAAGGTCCATGTCTAGTGATAAATGTCATGTTAAACTATAAATAGATTAATTGTAACATGTATATCAACGATGTAGAAGTAAAGGTTCAGCATCTTTACAAAATTAGGTTTTATCACCGGTCCATTGGCTCCTCATAAGTTTCCTTGAAATTCAATGTAGTCTAACTTGGCTAACCTCATGTGATTTTTTGTCAAGATTTTAACGAGATTCACTGAATTCAATATCTTTTTTTTTAGAATAAAATGTAAAATTTATTAAAAAAAAAAACTGTTTTACATCTAGTGCAGCGTTTGTTTTAAAATGGTTACAATACAATGTTCATGAAAACAAAAACCAAAAAGTCGAACTCGTTCTTATCGTGATGGAAACCAAAGCGCCATACACCCTTCATATTTTCGATTCATTTGCTCTCTAATAGACGCTAACCTGTTGCGGACTTGCTTGTCTATCCCTCAGATCCGTTGAGTGGATAAAGTTGGAACTTCGCCATGTCGTCTACTCTTCCATTCTTTCCGTAGAGTTGAAATGCTTACCTCGTCAAAAAGCCTATTCAGTGAATTCAATATCAAACAAACAAAAAACAAGGATTCATTAATAAAGACTAGAAGCCTATACATTTTGAGAGTTTGATGCTGATGAAAAATATCAACAAAATTTTCGTTAATTAGAGGGATGGGTTAAAGTATAATTGTAACTGCTAAATTTGGCCCCAATGTATAGCCTAGATTAATGTTGCCTGAATTATTCACCAGATTCTTGTTCACATTGTCTACATGCATTCCTTCTTTTCCTCTCTTTTTTTCCTTTAAGCTTTTTCTCTCTATTGTTTTGTCCGAAAGCTTTTGTTCTCTCTCTTTTTTTTTTTCTAAATAATAAAAGTCGCATGTGACCCTCTGATCAAAAGTGAAACCATAAAGATAAGCACCGCCACGTTTACACGAGATCCACACCGTGGACATCATATCATCTTACACTCTATTCACAATTACTCAAATTGCATAGCACGTATAATAATACTGTTACAAAGTTAAAAAAAAACAATTAGAGATTCTGATTAAATGGGCAAGAACATGTATTATCAGGAATAGTAATTACAAAAAATACTTCAAATGATTTTTAATATTTATTACCTTCTTAAATATCTTTGTTGAATCTTATCCTATACTATGACTATGCCACCTAATTCTAGAAATAAACAATAAAATTAAAAATATTAATTTAATCAAGATTTTTTTCTTAATAAGTAAACCAAAGAACACGTCTCATAGTATTACAGAATTGTTTTTCAATCTATCACAATAAAGAAAGAAATAGTATCATAGATGGTAACGTATCTCCATTTATTTTTAATAATATTAGACGTTTCTTATTAAGAGAAATCGTACTTTACTTTGAACTTTTAATTGTGGTCCCTTGATACCACATTTTCCTATAAATCAAGTACACGCAACAACATCAACAACAACAACCACAAAACTTTTTTCTTTCATTCTCTAAAAATGTGTCCGGTGGAGAACAAATGGGTTAAGGTAAAGATTCAATCTTTCAATCTCTAGATTATAAATTAACGATTTTTATATTCATAGATTTGGTTATTTGATCTTAGAAATGTGATTTTGATTATGTTAATCCAGGTGGGTCAAAAAGGAGCTGGTCCTGGGGCTAGAAGCTCACATGCCATGACCGTCGTTGGTAACAAAGTTTACTGTTTTGGCGGTGAGCTTAAGCCAACGATCCATATTGATAACGATCTTTACGTTTTCGATCTTGAGACTCAAGAATGGTCGATCGCTCCTGCAACCGGAGATGCTCCTTTCCCCTGTTTTGGTGTCTCGATGGTCACGATCGGTTCAACGATCTATGTATACGGTGGCCGTGATGATAAACGGAGGTACAATGGTCTTTATTCGTTTGAAACTGAGACTAATGAGTGGAAATTGTTGTCTCCGGTTGAGGAAGGTCTTCCGGGTCGTAGCTATCATTCAATGGCTGGTGATGATCGGAAAGTTTACGTCTTTGGTGGTGTTACTGCTAAAGGACGTGTGAATACACTTCATGCGTATGATGTTGTTGATCGGAAATGGGTTGAGTATCCGGCGGCTGGGGAAGCTTGTAAAGGCAGAGGAGCACCGGGACTTGTGGTTGTGGAAGGGAGAATTTGGGTTTTGTTTGGGTTTGATGGTAATGAATTGGGTGATATTCATTGTTTTGATTTGGCTAGTGAGCAATGGAAAGCTGTGGAGACTAAGGGAGATGTACCGCCGGCGAGAAGCGTGTTTCCGGCGGTTTCGTATGGGAAGTACATTGTTATTTATGGTGGGGAGGAAGAGCCACATGAGTTGATGCATATGGGAGCTGGGAAATTGACTGGAGAGGTTTACAAGCTTGATACAGAGACATTAGTGTGGGAAAAGATTGTGGATGTGAACGAGGAGGAGAAGCCGAGTCCACGCGGGTGGTGTGCGTTTGCGGCTGCGGTTAAGGATGGTGAGGAAGGTTTGTTGGTTCATGGTGGTAATAGTCCGACCAACGAGAGGCTTGATGATTTGGTGTTTTGGGGTTTCTCTCGTCTTAATGTCAATTAATGAGTTACTTTGTGTCTTTCGTTTGTAAACAGCTTAGTGTGTGTGTTGCTTTAAGGAGTTTATGTGGTGATGATATGTAACTGCTAAGTGTCTTGAGTTAAAGGAGCTATGTGGTGACAATTTGTTACCTATTCCAAATATTTTATCAAGTTTAGTGTTTTGGTAATTTAATAAAAATCTTGTTAGTCTAATCCTCGGTAAGTGTATGTTGAAATTGGTGGTGATGGTCAATTTGTTGCATTCGGATTTAACAATGATACTCGAAGAATACATGTATGTTCGATGTTTTGCTGTTATATTGAACTTGATAACAAGAAATGCTCTTAGGTCTGTATAAATTATTGGTCTACTATCCTTCATATCCAATGTGATACATTTTCGCGCTACAAGAAATCGCACATTCTGGTGGTTGAAAGTGTCGGAAATTCGTCGGAACAGTGATCACCTTTCTTATTTTTTCTCCGGTTGCGTTTAATAATTTATCATCTCTTGATACATTACGGTTTGGGGGTAATGTGATTAGGTTAAAGGGGTTATAAGAAAGAGATTGTTGAGCTGGAAGTTTTAGCTTTGGTTACCGATGGAAGAAACTATTATTAAGAATTGTTGACTGTAACATAAACAAATGCTTCATTTCTATATGGTATATATAATACACCAAAATTTCCTTCAAAACTAGATTTACCAATTATATGCGCTCTTTAGTAAAATTTGTAATCAAAGTGGAATTTAAAATCAAGTAGGTGTTACTGAGGATAATAAGTTTCTAGAGGAGAATCTGAACCTTTTGGCAAAACTTAATCTTCTTAGAAAAAAAAGAGTACAAGCTAGCCATCTTTGGGTGGGCAACAAGACTCATAATCTGAACCAGAATAATCCAGAAAGAGAAATCAGATAGACACTATTAGTGACATTATAATATAAGTTGGATGCCATAAGCGAGAACACTGTTGTAACACATAGTATTTTGACTCTGACATGACATGGGACGATTAGCTAAATGTTTCTAAATGATGATCCAACAATTGGTCAAATCTTTAAAGTTTAGCTTCCAATTTCTCACATTAATTTCTACAAATAAAACTTATTAACATCTTTCTCAAATAACAATCTGCAGGACTGATGCAGCGTGTAGACTAGAGCGGCCCTTTCAAATGCAAGAATTCTCAACATCCAGCATATCCAAATAGAATCGGATTGCCGTGTCTTGGTCCAGGTGATCATCAAGCAGTCTACAATCTCAGAGATCCATGGGGACCTCTCGGACATCCTCATCTTATGTTTATTTTTTTCAAGTTTCAGTTGTATCTCTATTCCTAGAACGGAAAATGTTGTAGCCGATTCTCTAGCAAAACAGGCTCTCTTGGCGTTTGCCTTTAACTTTGCTTAATGAAGAAAAAAACATGTTTCTCGAATGAAAAAAAAGGTGGATCATAGAATAATAATAAGTTCATGAATTTCTTTTGTTATTAACCAAAGAAATTTTGGTTTTAAGTCTATAATCAAGCAAACGATATGAATAGATTATGCTAGTCTCTTTCGTCCATGTTCGAAAACTCGGGACCTTCCCAACTCTTCTCCTTTGGGTAGCCAGGTGATAAGCAAGTTAAAAACTATTGATTTCACCATTTCGGGTATGAATTATCTTTTAAACATTTACAAATTAGATATATGATACCAAAAGATATAGATAAATAAATGTTCAATATCATAGTATATAAAAACTAAAATAAAATAAAATACTAAACACCAACAAATTCTTTGGTCCCCGGCCCAATGGAATTATAGACCAATAGTCCATAGGTTCTTGGTTATCCACAAATAAAAAGTAAAAAACAAAAACGAAAAACATCAACAAATACTTTATGGAAACAGGGTACTCACTTATAACCTTAGAACGATGGAAGAAACTAACGACCACGTTTCCCTTATCGTTATTGCATCTCTGTAATTTACAATGAAAGAAAAGAAAATAAGTCTGGATATACCTACATATATTAATTACCTACACAAAATTCTAGATACAGTATAGTAGTTGTGTAAAATAAAAAAAGATCCATCAGGGAAACTTACCCGGCTTAGTTGTGTACGATGGTTAGGACCAAAAGCAGCCCCAAGAGAGGAAACTTTCGTAAAGCCATGTTGGTTTTTGTTTAGTTTTGTACTTTTGTGCTCTTAAGGAGAAAGATTTGGATGGTCTTAGTTTCTTAGAGACTTATAAGTGAAGCTCTTATATAGAGATTTTGATTCACTGAATTGATCTCTGATTTCTCATTTTTTAATATGCCAACCAGGCCTCATTTTATTTCTTTACTTTACATATCCAGATGATCATATCGTGGTTCCGATCTCTATGACCATTTTTTCCACACTAAACTATTATTTCAATAGGATGATTCATTGCATGATGTAATATCGTTTTGACATTATTTGTTTTCCGAAGTTTAAAAAACATAGTGACAAAAAATATTAGATCATATATTATACATCAATGAACAACATGTATTAAATCTGCTACTAAGTTGTCATTGACTCCAAAAATAACTCTAGCAGAAATAATTAAAAAATGCGGCCTTTAGACTAAAGGCTTTAGTTAATATCAATTAATTAAGAAATTTGGATTAAAAAACTTTTATCCTTTTAATCCTTTTAATCAGCATTTAAAAACTTCTCAAATTTTTTTTGTAGATTATTAAACTCTAAACATTTTAAAAGATAAAATAACTTCAATTATAAATAAACGCAATTTAAACAAACCGTTATATTAAAAGATAAACAAATAAAAAATATTAGTTTAGGATTTTTTTTCTAAATTCTATTTACATTTTTTAATCCAAATAATAATTTTTTTAGTCATGATGTAATATGAAATTTTGATTCAACATCTTGTTAATATATAGTATATCGGTTTTGTTACCATTACATATTTTGTTATGTATATTATTTAAATTTACCGGCTCGGACAATCATATCATTTATATTTAGTTTAATAAAATCAACCAATCATAAAAAAGACTGAAGAATATAAATGGTTACAAATTGTCAAATGCATTTAAATTTACATTGAAACTAGTAAAACATCTTATAATATGAAACAAAATAAAATCCCTAAAACACCTCTTATTTCTTTCATAGTTTTGTTACTTTTGCGTCTATTCAAATCTTCCTCTTCCTCTTCGAATCACATATATGAATATTTTGAACCCTAGTTCTTCTTTATCTATATTTTGAACATTATGTTTATGTTAAGAGGGTTTTACTTTTCTTGATTTTCTTATTTTAAACTTGTTTCTTTTTTTCCCATTCGGTATTTATCTATACAGAAAGGTTTTAGGGATTTGTAAGAGAAACATCTCATAATTTTTTTTATTCTAGTGGATTCTAAAGTTTTTTGTGGATTCGAGAGTTTTATCTTCCATCATCGCTTGTAAGCTTGTGTTTTAATCTAGATTTAGCGCTTGCTTAACCTAGGATTTTCTGACTATTTCACTAACCGATGCATGATTTGATGGTCTTGAGAAGCTCATCATGCCGGACATGGCAACACATATGCATGTTCTCAAATCAGGATTGATACCAGATCTTAGAGTATCTCTAAAGGGCAAAACACTCTTAAAATTTATACTTATTAGATAAAAAAAAATTCGCGCTACGCGGCGGTGATTTTTTATAAAATAATTTTGTTTCAATATAAGTATGATTCCAAGAAATTCAAAAGGCTCTTAAGATTTGATATCTTGCATTTGCTCATATTTTAGTAGTTTTTACTTTACTATGTTATTTATGTATGCATACATTAATAAACACATGTTATATATTACTTTTACAAAAGAAATTGTTGATATAAACTTTCACACATGATAGTTCAAATTCATATTATTTTGTAAGTCACAAACTAAATTTGCTTTCTTATAAATTCATATAAACTTCAATCGAAAGTTTTTTTTAAAACCCCTAAGGACAGATTCTATTTTTAAAAAAACATTTAGTTTCACTAATCAATTTAAATTCTAGTGCTAGATTTCATACTAATGGTTTCATTTTTATAGGATTTAATAAAATATTTTTTTCTTTAGTTATAGTTTCTTTTTTCTATATTTCACTCTATTTGAGTATGAATGCTAGATTTCATTCTAATGATTTTAATATTTTATTCTAATTTTCTATTCTAATTAAATTTAATTTTCATGAAACATATGATTTCAATTTTTTTTAATCTTAAGGACCAAATAGTTTTGATGAAGCTCTTTTTATTTTCGAAAAACACTTAAACCTCAAATTTTTAAAAAATAAACATTATAACGATCTCTATTTAATTATCTATTGGATCGAAAAAACTAAATATAATGATACATATCTTAAAAATGAATTAGAAATTTTATTTGAGATAAGAAAGATGTAAAAAAAAATTATTTGATAAATGTATTATAATAATTTATTTTGTTACATATTTAAAAAAAAATACATGAACTTAATGGAGAAGGATCTTTTTTTTTTTATTAAAGGAAAAAAAAAAAGAAAAAGAGATCCATCTCCATTAACTTCATGTATTTTTTTTAACTATGCAATATTTAACAAAATAAATTATTGTATACCTGAAAGTTTTGTTAAAACAATCAAAACTTTAAGTTTACATAAGTGAATTAAATTAAAAATATATAAAATTAAAGAAGAAATAACTATAATCTAGTATGGACGTTAAAAATAAAATAAAAATTGAAAACAATGTTAGATAGATATATATATATAGTGGATGAGGATGAGAGAATGAGAAAATGAGTATTTATAGGATGAGAATGGATAGAAGTTACAATTTTAAAAATAAATGATAGAAGTTACAATTTTAATTTATTGTGTGTTGAATAAAATTAAGTGGGGAAATATAGTTAATGCATAATTTTTATGATTTTGGTTTTATATTAAAATGTGAGTTAAATTTATATGATTAATGTGTTATTTGTGGTTTAAGTTACATTGCCAAATGGACCAAATAAGGAGAGAATAAAACTTTATTAATATATATGTATGATTCATAATTAATTCTTCTCCAGTTTACTTTAATGTTAATGTAATACTTTGGAAATGACAAGTATATTGAAATAAATAAGTATAAGTATAGTATACATGTAAGAATAGTTAATAAAAATATAAAACTAAGCCTGAATATATGTGGATGTATATGTGAAGGTGAAATTGTATTTGGACAAATATGGCAGTCTTTGTTTGTTTATTGGAGGGTATGTTTGTGTTCACCCTTCTTCCTCTTTGTTTTCTTTATCATTGTACTTGAGCTTTTATCTCATTATCCCACTTTAACCTTTCTTACTCCTTTAATCATTACCAAATCCTTCTTCTTTATTTTTCCTTAAATTTAATATTGTATTCAATTACAAATAGGAATTATTGCGGAATAAGGCACTTTTCAGAACTTATTTGTGTCTTTAGACACTTTGAAAGTACAAGGCACTTTAGATAAGTTATTTGACCAATTTGCCCTCTAACTACATCTAGCTTTCGTTACGACATTCTTTGTCTCTCTCCTTCTCCTATCCCTTCTCTCTCTTTCTCTCGATTTATCTAAAAATAAACAAAATCAAGTGGAAAAAAAACTCAAAATTTACATCTTTTTCGACAGCCATTGAAAAGAGAGAAAAAGCCATCGAACGTCTGCTTGAGAAATGGCGTAATCTCTGTAGCGTTCTCAAGAACCCTAACCGTTTGTTTCGTTTCACCGCTAATCTCTCTCTAAACGCACCAACCAGGTTTTGTCTCTTTCTTCTTTGTGAATCCTTGTTCATTTTTTTTATTGATTTTGTTGAAATCTTGGAACAATTGGGAATTTGGTGAATTCGGGGTATCTTCCGGTGAAGTCGTCGTCGTCTAGGGCTCACTGTAAAACTCCAGGGAAAATCCCAGCTCCTCTCGATTGTTTCAGGTTTTTGAATCTTGCTGTTCTTTTGGAAATTATGTGCATAGATTTGTGTTTTTCTATTACCATTGAAGGACTAATTAGAACCTATGGATGAATAAGATAAAGATTTGTGTTAAATGTTCTTCACTATGTTGTTCTACTCAAATTTTGAAAATTGGAGTCTTTTTCTAAATGATATGTCTGTCTTTCTTCGTACAAAGCCAGGGAGATGATAATCCTGAGCCTTCAGCTGAAGGGATTTCCCCAGTTGCAGGTATATGTTTGCTTTGCTACTTCATTTTAGTGCAAGTTTCAAGTTCCTTCCATCAATGGCCAACCGGTAATGACCTTTCTGGTTCTGGATTATGGATTGGATGGTCGTCTTTATGCATTTTGTTTTGAATTTGTAGGAGGCATTGTTGCTCTTGGGAAGTTTGATGCTCTGCATATCGGTCATCGAGAGCTTGCAATTTAAGCTGCAAGAATTGGTACTCCATAGCTATTGTCGTTTGTTGGAATGGCTGAAGTACTCGGTTGGAAACCTAGGTAATTTCTCCGTCTACCTTCCCAATTAACTTAACATCATTAGACCATGACTCTACTGATAAAGTTTGGTTTTTTAAACAGTATATGCTCTCTTCTATTGGACAGAGCACCGATAGTAGCCAAATGCGATAGAAAACGGGTGCTTTCCTCTTGGGCATCGTATTGTCGTAACATAGCACCGGTAGAGTTTGAGATAGAATTTGCCAGCGTTGACTTTTGTTTGAGATAGAAGGTGGAAGAAGACAAGAGGCAAAAGTGGGAAGATAATTAAATGTCTTTCTCTATCTCAAAGTCGTTGACTTTTGTTGTTGAGTGTCTCTTACTGACCAAACACAACAAAACCACCATTAGAAGTGTTCTCGATGATAAGACGCATTTCCTTGTACCAAATATGTCAAAATTCGTGAATTGCCCATTCACCGAACATGGAATCATTTCTGAGATGAGGATCTTTGTGTCATTTTCTCAATTTCTGGTGTAGCTTTCCTTGTACCACACGATCCGTATGGCTCATCTAATGCCCATTTAATCAGCCAGAGAAGAAGAAGAAGAGGAAGATAGATTAGGGTTTTTCATTTCAGAGTAGCCCCAATCCAAATTCAAATTTTTTTTTATTTTTATTTTGATCTCTCGATCATGTCATCGGTCTGTGTCAACGAAGCATTAACCGATGACGAGCTGAGATGGGTATTGTCGAGACTAGACAGTGACAAGGACAATAAAGTGTTTGATTTCTTCTTCTTTGTGATTGAACATGGCTAATGGCTTCAAGGCTTTGTTAACATTAATTGGTAAAAATTAACCATACAGTTACATCCACATGGTTAATACATTAACATACTATACTATGAAAACTCTACAATAGACTTTGGCTACGTGAACAGATCATCATGACATTCAGCGTTGTGGACACAACGCTCCCGTTTCAGACCTTGCAGAATCTACATGGTTTAAGGAAGAAAAAAATAACACATCCTGGTTTAATTTTCATAAAAAATACATTCAAACCCTCATTCACTAAATGCTATATAATGAAACGAGATTGACTATTGACGATTGTGTATTTATGTGGAACCGGTGAAGAGATTAGTCCCTTGAACTTGTGCTCATTTATGCTATATCTTGAGATGTTTGGTAATTAAAATCAAACTTGGACTTGTATTTAGAACTTCAAAATCCAATCGAGAAGATCTAAAAAAAGTATTATGTTTAGTTTGTGTAAACATCTGTCTTGGTATGAAACGACGACCATGTGAGTCACAAGATGACCATATGGATTGCACAGCTTGGACAAACATCAATAAACAACATATATGGTATGGATCCATTTTATAATATAATGGCAGTGTCCACTCACAAGTGAATATTGGTCAAAGAAAAATGGATGGTGTACTTTTAGTTGCCGATTATCGTTCATGTATAAATTTGTGTATTGATATGAAACGACCATGTGAGTTATTAGATGACCATTAGGACTTGACTTCTTGGACACTCATCAATGGAAGTTAGATTTCGGTTTGGGTTTATTTGGTAGAGAGTAGGGTTTAGTGTTATATATTTTAAAAAATTAAATATCAGTTTGGGTTTATATTGTTGACGAAGTTAGATTTCAGTTTGGGTTTAGTATGTAGGGGATAGGGTATAGTGTTATATATTTAAAAGAAGTTAAACATCGGTTTGAGTTTATATTGTTGACGAAGTTAGATATCGGTATGGGTTTACTAGGTAGGGGGTAGGGTTTAGTGTTATATATTTAAAAGAAGTTAAATATTGGTTTAGGTTTAGTAGGTAGGGGGTAGGGTTTAGTGTTAAACCTTTAAACCGAATTTTCATCTCGTTTTAGGTTTATATTGTTGACGAAGTCATTTATCGGTTAGGGGTTACTAGGTAGGGAATAGGGTTTAGTGTTATATATTTAAAAGAAGTTAAATATTGGTTTGGGTTTAGTAGGTAGGGGGTAGGGTTTAGTGTTAAACCTTTAAACCGACTTTCCATCTCGTTTTAAGTTTATATTGTTGACGAAGTTAGATATCGGTTTGGGTTTACTAGGTAGGGAGTAGGGTTTAGTGTTAAATATTTAAAGAAGTTAAATATCGGTTTGGTTTAGTAGGTAAGGGGTAGGGTTTTAGTGTTATATATTTAAAAAAGCTCTACACATGAATCATTTGTGTTCAAGTGTTTGTCATGTTTCACCATTACTCCAATTGGTCAAGTCTAAATGGACAAGTTAACATGGACCCAAACTATCATTAACTTGAGTGTTTCTATTTGAAAGCAATGTCTATAGATTGTTCTTGGGGTTTGGAGACCTATAGGATTATTATTTTATACATAATGAAATCGTGTTGGAAGCTTTGACAGTTTGTCTCCATGAAAACTTGTCCAATTAGACGTGACCATATGGAAATAACTGATTCTCATATGCGAAGTGGTATATTTTTAAAAAGTTAAATATCAGTTTGGTTTTAGTAGGTAAGGAGGGATAGGATCTAGAGTTTGACTTTAATGTTCAGGGGTTAGAGTTAAGGGTTTGGGATTAGGATTTGGTGTTGAATTTTTAGGGTTTGGGTTTAAATTAAATTTTTAGTAAAATCAACTTTTAGTGTCTAGTTTTTAAAGAATTTCTAAATGTTTAAAAATGACTAAGTGTTCTATAATAACTTTTGGTTTCTTTTAGAATATATTGATCTAGCATTTAAATTAATTGAGCTTTTTTGCAAAAACTTTGCAGGTTGGTTAATCAAGCTCTAACATGTTTTGTCTTAACTTGGGTTTCATATAACTTGTCGTATGTATTTTTACAAAGTGGTTTATCCATATGGACAACAATTAATGGTCTGGGCATCCAACGACATCCATAAACAATTTTGGACATGATTACGTAAATAGAAAATTATAATTGATCCATACAACTCTAACTATGTGGATGGCTACTTGTAAAGTGTTAGATATCAGTTTGGGTTTAGCAGGTAAGGGGTAGGGTTTAGTGTTATACCTTTAAACCGACCTTTCATTTCGATTTAGGTTTAAATTGTTGACAAAGTTAGATATCGGTTTGAGTTTAGTAGGTAAGGGATAAGTTTTAGTGTTATATATTTAAAAAAGGTTAATATCGGTTTGAGTTTAGTAGGTAGGGTTTAGTATTATATATTTTAAAAAAGTTAAATATCGGTTTTGGGTTTACTTGGTAGAGAGTAGGGTTTAGTGTTATATATTTAAAGGCAGTTAAATATCTGTTTCGGTTTAGTAGGTAGAGAGTAGGGGTTTAGTGTTTATCTCTTACCAGCCGTCCTCTCCGTTTGGGTTTACTTCGGTAGCGCGTAGGGTTTAGTGTTATATCTTTCACCAGCAGTTCAACTCTCGGTTTGGGTTTCGCATTATCTCTTTTTCCCCGTTCCCTCTCGGTTTGCGTTTCGTCGGTAGGGCGTCGGGTTTCGTGTTCTCATTTCCCGCCCGTTCCCTCTCGGTTTTGGGTTTTTTCGGTCGGGCGTCGGGTTTCGTGTTCTCTCTCTCCCACCCCTTATCTCGGGTTGGCTTCCTCGGTAGGGCGTCGGGTTTAGTCTCTCGTGTCTGGTTCAGTTGTGCTTCTTTGCATCACCAATGACACTTTTTTTTCATTCAAAGTTTGTTTATAATGATTGGAGTGTCTATATACAAGTGAACAAATGGTCAGCGGAAAATGGACGCTTTTCGTGAAATTGGTGGTTTTCATTTATGTATAAACTTCTGTGTTGGTATGAAACAACGACCATGTGAGTCACAAGATGACCATTTGGATTGCACAGCTTGGACAAACATCAATAAACAACGTATATGGTATTGATCCATTTTATAATGATGGTAGTGTCCATACACAAGTGAATATTGGTCAAAAAAAAATGGATGGTGTACTTTTAGTTGCCGATTATCGTTCATGTATAAATTGTGTATTGATATGAAACGACTATGTGAGTTAGATGACCATTAGGACTTGACCTCTTGGACACTCATCATCATCTTCATCACTCCATCGTCATCAATTCACCACCACCATCATCATCATCATCATCATCATCATCGTCACCGTCACCGTCACCGTCACCGTCACCGTCACCGTCACCGTCACCGTCACCGTCACCGTCACCGTCACCGTTACCGTCCTCGTCGTCGTCGTCGTCGTTCGTCGTCGTCGTCGTCGTCGTCGTCATCGTCGTTCGTCGTTCGTCGTTCGTCGTCGTCGTCGTCTTCGTCTTCGTCGTCGTTGCTATCGTCATCGTCATCGTCATCGTCATCGTCATCGAAATACTTGTAACTATGATCATTGCTTCATAAATTGATCAAAAAAAAGGTTTACGCTTGCGACACGGTTACACTAACGCAATCGACAGTTCGACACAATGTCCCAAAACGACACTGTCGACATATTTAAAGAAAATTATGTGAGAGATTTGACCCCGAGGGAGATCGATGGTTAAGCGATTTAAGAAAATTATGTTTATTTCGGTTTACTAAAATCGGTTTAGTTATTCAATTCGGTTATATTTGGTTTACATATTTGATTTCAATTATTTAATTTTTATTGGTTGGGTTATGGATAACCATTAATCCATTTTAAACCAAACTATTTCAATCCAACTCATTAAACTCATTAAACCATTTAATCCATTAATCCATTAATATCCAAATTTTTAACTCATTAGATCCATGAGTTGGATTGGTTTGGATTGATCCATCAATTTTAAACCATTTTGACACCTCTAGGGTAAGTAAAAGAATGATGATTTTGACCAAAGAGATATTGTGTGGATAATCCATCTTGAATATATTGTCATGGATCGTCGTCTATACCGTAACATATATTTTTTCACCGCTAAATGGTCGTGTGAATATAGTGTCCATTTTTGAATATAATCATATGAATATCAGTTTGGGAATGATCCTATATTTTCCAGCTCTTAAATTAAAATGTTTTAGCTCCACAAACATAAACACTAAAGATGAGTAATACCAAATATAAACATTGTTTACCAAAATCAAATACAAGAACATTTCATAAGTTGGCGAACATATCTTCGAAGGGTAATAGACGGATTCCTATGGTTGACAATCCGCAAGTACGCGTTCATATATGACATTTGGGAGTGGAGGTGTATCCATTCATATATGACGTTTAGGAGTGGAGGTGTGTATCCATGTAACATCGAACAAATGGATATAGTGTAAGAAATGACGGTGTATCCATGTAGCGGCGAACAAATGGATATGCATTTTTGTGTTTTTTTTGTAAACCTATCTTAAAATCCATG